TGTGGCCATTGAGCCGCCTGCTGTGCTGGTGACCCTGCCTGGCCCCATCCTCAGCTCCTTCCCTCAGAACACCGTGGTGGGATCTTCTACCTCTGCTGCCGTTGGCAACATCCTCAGCTGTGGTGGAGTKCCCATCARCTCYGGTGGCTTTGACCTCTCCTGCATCACCAACTGCTATGGTGGCAGCAGGTGCCGTCCCTGCTAAATCTGCTGGCAACATCCTTGGGCAAGAACCTGCAATACCTCAAAACATGGTTCTTGCAGAACATGGTTTTGGGCCGGAGATAGAGCTTCTGGACATTGTATTTACAGCTTCAGGGTGATGTTTCTTTCGCCTATACTTCCTTCTTGTTCCTGTGCTGTCTCTGTCTCCCGAGCCAGCCCAGGGGATCTGTTGCCCTCCTTTCCTCTTTGGGCAGGCAGATGGACATTTTTCAGGTGCTCCACTGCATCTTGGTGGCTGCTCCTGGTGCTATCTGTGAGCCACCTTCTTTTCTTTTGACTCAATAAAACACTTTTGCATCCAAGCCTTGGCCTCTGAGTCATCCTTCATTCTCTGGCAAATCTTCCATATTGCTCAGGGAAAAAGGTGGAGGAAGCAGAGGCTTTGACTCCCTTGAAGCTGACAGAGTCATCCACGGCTACGCAACAGCCTAAGGCCCTGATGGAGACCATGGCTCCAAAGTTTGCCTACAGTTGTGAAGGGAAATGACAACACCTCAGACAGCCCACAACCTCACCTCTTCCTTCTCCTCTCCCTCATTACCTGCTCTGCAGTCCATGCCCTGCACACAGGAGCACAGGGAGATGAGATGCACTCCCTCAGCACAGGCAGGACCCAGCTGCTATCCAGACATGCAGGGCAGCGGTGATTCACAAGTTTGCTATCAGCCATACTCTGGCTAAAGCTGTGCTAAATGACTTTCAGCTGAATTTCTGCCAATGTCTTATGGCTTTGTTATAAATTTATAATATTTCTCATGTGTATGAATGTCTGTAATCTGTCCATCGAGTTCTCCCTGGATGGGGCTTTGGATCAAACCAGTGCCCACTGCTGCTGAGTCAACCCTTGGTCACCCGCCCATGCCCACTTTGTCACCTCATTGCTGTGTTTGCATTGTACTGAGTTGTGCTTGTCCCCAGGATATAGAACAGGAATGTTTGTCCCAAAAATGGGCTGCCTCCATCTCTACGACACCTTCTTCAGCCACAGCCTGGTCTCACAGCGCCTTCTTACCAAGAACCCTCAGGTGGCTCTACAACCATCCAGATATGGATTTGAGACATACACATGGGTCCCTCATTGCCTTAGGTTACATACAAGGTGTAACCAAAA